CCTTGACTCCAATCAGTGTGACGATATTGGATGTGTTGCTGACAGCTGTCCTGCCCTTAAAAAACACACACCTGTTTTGGGTTTACTGGTTTCAAGAAGCACTGTCTGATGTGAACCATGCCTCGCAGAAAAGAGCTCTCAGAAGACCTACGATCAAGAATTGTTGACTTGCATGAAGCTGGAAAGGGTTACAAAAGTATCTCCAAAAGCCTTGATGTTCATGTGTCCACGGATAAGACAGACTGTCTACAAATGGAGAAAGTTTAGCACTGGTGCTACTCTCCCTAGGAGTGGTCGTCCTGTAAAAATGACTGCAAGAGCACAGCGCAGAATGCTGCATGAGGTAAAGAAGAATCCCAGTGTGTCAGCTAAAGACCTACAGAAATCTCTGGCACATGCTAACATTTTTGTTGACACATCTACAATAAGGAAAACTTTAAACAAGAATGGAGTACATGGGAGGACACCATGGAGGAAGCCATTGCTGTCCAAAAAGAATATTGCAGCACGTTTGAAGTTTGCAAAAGAGCACCTGGATGTTCCACAGCACTACTGGCAAAATATACTGTGGACAGATGAAACCAAGATTGAGTTGTTTGGGAATGCTTGAAAATACAGATCCACTTCAATAATAGCCACCTCTTCCTTTAGATGCTCAGACCCACACTCGGGACATAAGAAAACAAAGGACTCATGGTGCAGTACCTTAAAAATATCTAATTTATTTAAAACACAATGCACTTACACAGCATGATGTCCCAGCCGACACTAGCGAAAACAACGTGATAATAATCAATATACTGAACCCAGCCTTGTCCCGCATGGATAATTTTAAGGTACTGCACCATGAGTCCTTTGTTTTCTTATGTCCCGAGTGTCGGTCTGAGCATCTAAAGGAAGAGGTGGCTATTATTGAAGTGGATCTATATTTTCAAGCATTCCCTGCAGAGTATTGCTCCCTAATTATTGGATATCAAGCTTCAGTGTTATCTCATCATCCTGCAGAGTATTGCTTCCAGAGCAGAAAGCGCTTATGCTGATTTATAACCAGGGGCGGACTGACAACTCATGGGGCGTACATGCGTGGTTAGAGTGGGAGGACGTCATATGACATCCTCCCAGAACAAGAGAATCGCTTTGCACCCAACTTTGCCTTATATAGTGGGCGGGAGGCGGTTAAAGTATAATTGAAGACGATGATGTCAGTAGCAGGGGCGGACTGACAACTCATGGGGCCCCCAGGCAATAGGGGATCATGGGGCCCCTGTGTCCTTGCCCAAACTCAAAAAAACCTATGAAAAAGGTACCAGGGGCATCTCATGGGGCCCTCTACTGACCCCGGGCCCTCAGGCAGTGCCCGAGTTTCCAAATGGTCAGTCCACCCTGTTTATGGATTGGCACAAGGTGGATTTTGTTGGACACAAATTAATTTCTTCATTTGCAACGTATTATTTGGACTTTGAGTTTATATATTATACACGAATATTTATTTATATTAGACTTTTTGATAATTAGCGCAACCTATTTGGTTTATCACTTTATTCACCTTCTTATATAGGTTAGGTCTGCAGCTATTATATATATATATATGTTCACTATTTATTTATTTTATATATTTAAAAAAAATGTTTTGTCCTTTGGCGCGATCCTAATATTACCTTGATCAAAAACACTATTTAATTTATTTTCAATATTCAACGCAAACTCGTCAATCCATCCATATTTTGTTGAGAAATCACTTTGAAAAACACCCCCTAGCTCAGGGGTGTCAAACTGGTGGTCCCCCAGCTGTTGCAAAACTACAAGTCCCATCATGCCTCTGCCTTTGGGAGTCATGCTTGTAACTGTCAATCTTGCAGTGTCTCATGGGACTTGTAGCTTGGCAACAGCTGGAGGGCCACCAGTTTGACACCTGTGCCCTAGCTTTTCTGGCCATGGCCATCTTGAGTCAAGGCAGATGATTCATGTAGCATTTACTTCCTGGAATCCAGCTGCCCTTAAAGCGTTACTAAACCCAGGACCCTGCATCCACTATATCTGGTCTCCCACAGTGCACAGAACATGGAAATGCAATTTTTTTAGTAAATATAAACTGCTAAATATCTTTTCTCATCAGCAGTTAGAGCAGTCTTTTGAATTCTATCAGTGTCCAGCAGAGCAATGGTTAAAGCTTGTGGGAGGAGTTTTCTTTCTGCTCTAGGAGCATGCAGAACCCTTGGCCTCTGTCTGGACAGTACTGATTGGCCCTGTGATGATCACATGCACTCTCCCAATAAAAAAAAATCTCTCTAGCAATACACACCAAACTGAACATGTGCAAAGTGTCTGCACATGATATGTCTTATCAGAAGATAAGAGGAGGACACTGGAAAAAAGGGGGAGAATCAGAGAAGACAGGATCAAACAGCCTTTTTACACAATGTAGAGGATTAACCCCTTAGGTTCAACAGTGAGTATAACAAGCATGCTTTACTGCATACACAGACTGATTTTACTGTTGTGGGTTTAGTAACATTCAGGGGCAGACTGACAACTCATGGGGCCCCCGGGCAATAGGGGATCATGGGGCCCCTGTGTCCTTGCCCAAACTCAAAAAAGCCTATGAAAAAGGTACCAGGGGCATCTCATGGGGCCCCTTACAGACCCCGGGCCCTCGGGCATTTCCCGAGTTTCCAAATGGTCAGTCTGCCCCTGGTAACACTTTAACTCAGGCATGCAGGCAGGAGGGTGTGCCTAGCTGAGAAAACCCTTCCTCCTCTCCTGAAGACTCCAGGGATGTATGACATCACTTGCTTAGGCCAAAAACCAGGAAGTAACTGAAGTTATGAAATGTAAAAAAAGTTTAAAACAAATATATATGCTATACTTTCCTATCTATTTACTAATGCTAGCAGCAAAGGGATTAAAAATAGTCAATGTTGATTGGGAGAGTGAAGCTCTGCTTTAACCACACTTGTCCTCCAGAGGATTTGCCCCCTTTCCTGACCAGGCCATTTTCTGCAACATGACGCTGTGTTGCTTTAACTGACAATTGCGCGGTCATGCAAACCTGCACCCAAATGACATTTATGTCCTTTTTTTCCCCAGGAACAGACCTTTTTTTTTTGGTGGTATTTGATCGCCTGCGGTTTTTATTTTTTGCACTATAAACAAAAAAACGCAACAATTTTGAAAAAAAAAATATTTTTGACTTTTTGCTATTAAACATGTCCAGTAAAAAAAATTAAAAAAAAAAACAAATTTCATCATAAATTTAGGCCAAAATGTATTCTGCGACACATCTTTGCAAAAAAAAAAATCCCAATTCAGTACGTGTAAATTCATTGGTTTATGTGAAAGTTATAGCATTTACAAATGGGTTTTTTTCATACTAGTAATGGTGGTGATCAGCGACTCTTAGCGAGACTGCAGCTGGCATTCTGACACTGGGGGGGAACTGACTAACTGTCACCGACATCCCCAGTGACACCAATACAGTGATCAGTGCTAATAAAAAGCACTGACAACTGTACTAATGGCACTGGGCAGGAAGGGTTACCTTCACATGTGGGGTGATCAAAGGGTTACCTGTGTGTTTTACTATGTAAGCATGCTGCTTTGTATTGCAGAGCAATACAAAGCATCGTGCAGGAGCTGACAGGGGAGAGATCTGTATTGTTTGCATACAGACCTCTCCCTTGTCAGTGTTCCTCGATGATCGCCAGGTGCCGGCGGGGAATCGTCTTCCGGGACCCGGTGATCAATAGCTGTAGTCGCCAGTAGTGGCGCATGTAGGGTGCTTGCTCACAGCTCGCGCCCCCCCTACCGGGAAATACAAAATCACGTAATTATATGTGATTTTGCGCAGCCCTGCCTCCCTGTAGCAGTAGTTTCAATTTTTTTTATGTCCTTTGTAACATCATCATGTTTTGCTTATGCTGTGTGAGGGTTGTTTGCCATTCTCTGCCACATGTATCTGCTACTTTTACACTGGCTCCATGGACACCAGGCATTTTAATAACACTTGTAACGTTAGCTGTGTAAAGTCATGTTAAAAACTTGAGCTTTTCAGCGGTTTTTAATGTTTTTGCATTAGCGTCTAGAGGCGTTTTTTCGAGTTTGCGGTTTTCAGCATTTTTTTTTTTTTTACCAGATAAAAAAGTTGAGGGGTCAAAAAAAATCCAAAAACGCCGGTTTGCCACGATTTACCACGTCTTGCCACTTTTTTCTGCATTAGAGTGTTTTTACAGCTAAAAAACTCCTTTAGTAATCCACTAGTCCTGGGTTTTTTTTCCAGCCAAAAAACACCCCTGCAAAAAAATGTTGATTACCGTCTATGTAACACATAGGATAACATTGTAGAAAAAAACACCAAAAGCTAAAAACAGCAGCTGTAAAAACGTCCAGTGTGCATAAATGTGAGGATTTTGGTTTTAACTTTTTTAATACAATTTTAAATAATCTATGGAAAGTCTATAATCATCTCTTTGAGCCCATTTCCAGTGGCTCCTCACTGAAATTCCATTACTGAAATTCTGGTGCCATTACATATTGGGATTGACCATAAGCACAATTTGACCTATAATTAGGGGTCAAATCATTACAGTAAGCTGCTTTCCATAGGTGGTGGCGTTGAACGGTGACATTCTCTTCTAGGCTGCTTATGCAAAGATCTCCAGATATGATCAGCATAGCCCAGCGTTTCTCAACCTTTTGTCAGTGAAGGTTCCCTTTAAAATTCTGCACAATCTTGAGGCGTCCATTACAAAATGTAAATACCGTATATTCCGGCGTATAAGGCGACTGGTTGTATAAGACGACTCCCTAATTTTCCAGTTAAAACATAGGTTTTGGGCTATACTCGTCGTATAAGACTACCCCCCTTCTGAGGCAACACCATTTAACCCCTAGCCTACAGGGCACATATACCCACTTCCCCCCCAGGCCAATTTTCAGCTTTCAGCGCTGTCACACTTTGAATGACAATTGCGCGGTCATGCAACACTGTACCCATATGAAATAGGTGGCACTGATGGGCACTGATGAGGAGGCACTGGCAGGTGGCATTGATGGGCATTGACAGGCATCACTGATGGGCACTGAAAGGCAGCACTGATACATGGCACTGATAGGCGGCATTGATAGGCAGCACTGACTGGCACTGTTAGGTGACACTGACTGGCACTGTTAGGCGGCACTGACTGGCACTGATAGGTGGCACTGACTGGCACTGATAGGCGGCACTGATGCGCACTGATAGGCGGCACTGACTGGCACTGATTGGCAGCACTGATGGGCATTGACAGGCATCACTGATGGGCACTGAAAGGCAGCATTGATACACGGCACTGATAGGTGGCACTGACTGGCACTAATAGGTGGCACTGACTGGCACTGATGGGTGACACTGAAAGGCAGCTCAGATGGGCACTGATATGTGGCATTGATGTGGCACTGATGGACACTGACAGCTGGCACTGCTGGGGCTACACTGATCATCAGGGCACACTGATCATCAGTGCCCTGATGATCAGTGTACATGTCCCCTCCGCGGAAAGCCGATTACCGGCTCTCCTCTCCTCTCGAGCTGTCAGCGTGACAGCTCGAGAGGAGAGAAATGCCGATGACAGGCATTTCCCTGTTTACATGTGATCAGCTGTGATTGGACACAGCTGATCACATGACCGAGCCGCCATCTTCGGCTCTTTCCGTGATCGGTGATAGCTGTGTCCGAGGGAGAATGGGAGGACGTCATATGAGCCAATCACGGCAAGTGATGTATTCTATTAATGAATACAGATCCTGCTCGGATTGGCTGTGTCAGAGAGGCGGGCTGATGATGTCACAACTTCAGCCAATCCGAGCAGGCTCTGTATTCATTAATAGAATACATCGCTCGCCGTGATTGGCTCAGCGCGGTACACTGTATGTAGCTGAAGCTACTGTACAGTATTACCGCACATCCAGCGTTCTATGCCCAGCGTATAAAACGACCCCCAATTGTTGGGGTATGTTTCTAAGTAAAAAAAGTCATCTTATACGCCGGAAAATACAGTAAATAAACTAATAGTGTTATAGAACACAGCAACATCTATACATGTGGGACACCCAATGTCAGAGGGGCAAGCCAGGATGCTGTGCAGGTGCCCGATGTCCTTCTTATCAACTGATGACATAATTGGTTGTAATGTTGCCAGTGGCTAGAAAGTTATAATGAAAATCTGTGGCTGTGTAACCAAAAGGCAGGCTTCTATACAATTTTTTGGGCAATTTTGAGGCATTTTACCAAGGCACCCTGAAAAAATCTGAAGGCACCCCTGATTGAAAAAGGCTGGCATAGGCATTGGAAAGAGTTATGGAAAACTATTAAGACCCCATTCACACTTGTGCAACTTGTCATGCAAATTTGGACTCTGTCATACCCCATGTTTTCCAATAATAACCATTCATGTATGTTGATCTAAGTTGCAGCGACTTCAGAGTAGTTCATGTACTACTTTGGTCCGAAGTTCATTCAATATGAGGGCCATAGACTTCAATGTTAACCCTCAAATGTTGCATGAAAGTCATACCAAAATGTTTTACATGCAATAGTGGTGCAACAGTGGGTCGACTTTGCACAGGGACAAGTCACATCCAAATCGCACCCATCCAAAGTTTCGTCAAAGTTGCACCAAAGTTGAACTCCAAAGTTGGCCAACTTTGGAGTCATACAAGTGTCAATAGAACCTAAGTATTGTATTGTTTTACTGTTTAAAAGGAATGGGGTTGATGTACCAAAACTGGAGAGTGTACAATCTGGTGCAGCTCTGCATATAAACCAATCAGCTTCCAGGTTTTTTTTGGCAAAGCTTAAAGTGATTGTGAAGGCTCAAGGTTTTTTTCCTTCATGCATTCTGTCTGCAGCTGTGACCCCAGCCCCCTAAATACTTACCTGAGCCCCTTTGAGATCCAGTGATGTGCGTGACAGCCTCGGTTGTCCCAGGTCTCTGCCTCCTCATTGGCTGAGACAGCAAGTGGGAGCAATTGGCTCCTGCTGCTGTCGTTGACAGCCAGTTAGCCAATGAGGAAAGAGAGGGGATGGCGCCAAGCCACGGCTCCATGTGTGAATGGACAGCAGGAGCCCCCATGGCAAGCTACTTGCTGTGGGGGCACCCAACAGAAAGGAGGAGCCAGGAGAGCCTGTGGGGGAACCGAGAAGTGGATGTGGGCTCCTTAGGACATCAGATGATGAGTCGTGTAGGGCTGGGCCTTGGTAGTGACGTCACCACGGGGGGAGCTGTCTGAGTATACATGAACCTGTTTGTTTCATTTCCCATTGACATTTGAAGTGTGAGATGCTAGTGTCGGCTGTGACACTTATCAATGTGAGTGGTTTTATATGAATTTGGATGAATAAAGATTTTGCATGGTTTTACACTATGTGGATTCCTTCTTCTTTCTCCTCCATGTCTTACTCTGAATACAGTTGCAAGAAAAAGTATGTGAACCCCTTGGGATTACATGGAGTTTTGCATGAATTGGGCATAAAATGTGCTCTGAACGTCATCTAAGTCACAACAATAGAAGAACACAGTCTGCTGAACATAATACTACACAAACATTAGATGTTGCCATGGTTTAATTGCACATAACATGTAAACATTCACAGTGCAGGGAGGAAAAAGGATGTAAACCTTTGGACTTAATAACTGGTTGACCCTCCTTTTGGCAGCAATAACCTCAACCAAACGTTTCCTGTAGTTGCAGATCAGATCTGCACAACGATCTGGAGTAATTTTGGACCACTCCTCTTCACAAAACTGTTTCAGTGTAGCAATATTCTTGGGATGTCTGGTGTGAATCGCTCTCTTAAGGTCATGCCACAGCATTTTAATTGGGTTGAGGTCAGGACTCTGACTGGGCCACTCCAGAAGGCGTATTCTGTGCTGTCGCAGCCATTGTTTTGTTGAATTACTTGTATGCTTTGGGTCATTGTCCTGTTGCATCACCCATCCTCTGCGGAGCTTCAGTTGGCGGACAGATGGTCGTACGTTTTCCTGCAAAATGTCTCGATAAACTCTGGAATTCATTTTCCCATCAATGACAACAATCCGTCCAGGCCCTGAGGCAGCAAAGCAGCCCTAAACCATGATGCTCCCTCTGCCATGTTTTACAGTGGGGATGAGGTTTTGATGTTGGTGTGCTGTGCCTTTTTCTCTCCACACATAGTGTTGTGTGTTCTTCCCAAACAACTCAATCTTGGTGTCATCTGTCCACAGTATATTTTGCCAGTAGTGCTGTGGAACATCCAGGTGCTCTTTTGCAAACTTCAAACGTGCTGCAATATTCTTTTTGGACAGTAATGGCTTCCTCCGTGGTGTCCTCCCATGTAGTCCATTCTTGTTTAATGTTTTCCTTATTGTAGACGTGTCAACAAAAATGTTAGCATGTGCCAGAGATTTCTGTAGGTCTTTAGCTGACACTCTGGGATTCTTCTTTACCTCATGCAGCATTCTGCGCTGTGCTCTTGGAGTCATTTTTACAGGACGACCACTCCTAGGGAGAGTAGCAACAGTGCTAAACTTTCTCCATTTGTAGACAGTCTGTCTTACCATGGACACATGAACATCAAGGCTTTTGGAGATACTTTTGTAACCCTTTCCAGCTTCATGCAAGTCAACAATTCTTGATCGTAGGTCTTCTGAGAGCTCTTTTCTGCGAGGCACGGTTCACATCAGACAGTGCTTCTTGAAACCAGTAAACCCAAAACAGGTGTGTGTTTTTTAAGGGCAGGACAGCTGTCAGCAACACATCCAATATCATCACACTGATTGGAGTCAAGGCTGGCTCACTCATGGCTCCAATTAGCTCTGGGAGAAGTCATTAAGCTAGGGCCTCACATACTTTTTCCTCCCTGCACTGTGAATGTTTACATCTTATGTGCAATTAAACCATGGCAACATCTAATGTTTGTGTAGTATTATGTTCAGCAGACTGTGTTCTTCTATTGTTGTGACTTAGATGACGTTTCAGAGCACATTTTATGCCCAATTCATGCAAAACTCCCGTAATCCCAAGGGGTTCACATACTTTTTCTTGCAACTGTATATGATGAATTAATTGCCATTGAGAGATTTTCCATTAGCTGAAGTCTGTTGCCACAGAGTATTGCTCCCAGAGCACAAGCGATTATAGCTGGTGTATTTTTTGCCAGCATGGAGCTCTGGTGAGTGGATTCAATCTATTTAGTGGTGGATTTTCATCATACAAGATAAATAATTTTAAAGATTGGAGCACTTCACCATTGTTTCACTGATTGTTTTACCTATTGTTTCACCAATTTATTGACTCGTTTGACTATTTTCTTTTGTACACTTTCTCACAATATTTGTTGCCACTTTTGTTTATGGTTTGGTGTTATTTATTTTAAGATATTAGTATGTTATGTTTTTGAACAGTGTTCCACACATTTCAGTTTTGGACACTTTCCCACACTTTTTTATTACAAGTTTTTTACATTTGTTTTTTTTAGCACTTTTGCTTTATTAGAGATAATTTTTGGGTAGAGTGCTATAAATTTCCTTGGTTGTTGCCCTGGTTGGGTTTAATATATTTTTTTTCATCGGTTCACCGATTGGTTCACGAATTGTTTCACATATTTATTGATTTTTTTACCTTTTTCTGTTGAACGCTTTCCTACACCTTTGTTACTAATAATTTTAAATAGTTTTGTGATATTTTTGTTGATGTTAATCAATTTAAGATAATTGATTATTACATATGTCATGTTTTTGAATAATTTTCCACACATTGTAGTTTTTGGGCGCTTTCCCACACCTTTTTCAAGTTTTGTATAGTTGTTTTTCAGCACTTTTGTAATATAAGAGATGTTTTTTGGGAAGAGCGCTGTCTTGATATTTAATGCTCTGTGCAAAACCATTGCACAGAGGAAATTAATACAGACATGTTATTTTACAAAAAAAGAAAAAATGAACCTTAAGGCTGGCCATACATTATACAATTATCTGGAGATTTTTGGTTTAGATTTACCAAAAACCATATAATATGAGGACAAACCTAAACAACACTTTCAGTTGTATCCAATTAGGAAGGCCCTTCCACTACACAGTTGAAGGTAAATCTAAAGAAAATTGGGCAGAAAATTGGAAGATAATTGTATAATGTATGGCCAGCCTTAGTATTGCTGTAATTGAACAAGTTAAGGTTAGAAGCTGATTGTCTACCATGCACAGCTGCACCAGATTTTTCACTATTCAGTTTTAATAAATCAACACCATTGTGTTGTGCCTCTTTCTCCTACTAAATACAAAGTGTTACTAGAGTATACAAAAGTATACAAATGGTGGTATTTGAAATACTTGTAATATGGTGTTTTCATC